CTCCAATTAAATGCAAGGGAGCGCAAGTGACAGGCACGAGTAAGATGGGTGTGCAGAAAACCATATTCTAATGCAAAAGCTGTGATGAGAAAATGGAATCTACACACCTGATGGGAATATTAATGCAAAACCTTGACCTATAATTTTTCTTTCTTCAGTCTGAGTGTGCCAGAAACAATTGCAGCTCATTAAAATGGATCATCTCCAGACACTCATGCATAATGACCAAGTCCCACAAGTCCCATGGTTTAAATGTTTGCCTTGCTGGTGAAGCCAGCAAAGTAAATGTTTAGACCATAGGACTTGTGGGATGTGGACATTATCATAGAGCTGCATGGTCCTGCATGACTAGACACAGGAAACTGCAGCAAGCCTTGAAGACCCTTTGTCTCTTTTAAACCCAGTGTTATCAGAGAAAGAGCGAAGGGAAAAAAAAACCAAATCCAAGACCGCCAGTGTGGGCTGGACCTCTGGAGTTCATCTGGCCCATCCCCTGTTCAAAGCAGGACCAACTTCAAAGTTCAATTCAGTTTGAAAGTTAGCTCAGGTGGCTCAGTGCTGAGCACTTCCAAAGATGGAGATTTTACAGCCTCTCTGGGCAGTCTGTTCCGATGCTGCCTTGTCAGGGCTCAATCTGGAAGCCATTCACCACATCACAACAACATCTGGCTCTACTTTCTTAACTGCCCTTTTGGTGCAAAGTGTGTGTTGGCACGTGGGATGCAGTAAGTATCGGTAGGGAAGGTGATAGCATCGTGCAAAGACAATTCTTTTGCAAGGAAAATAAATCAGAAAACAGTCCCACACAAGATGGGGTGAGAAGGAAGGCACTGCAGTATTTTATTCTGAGTCTGGTGCCGTTTTTCTGTAAGGCACTGCCAGACCAGTTCTTGAAGATGGAACAACCAAAATATTGTCCAGTTTGGGCTTGGTACTTGGCACAGACTTGAGATGTCAATGCTGTGGTTAGCTGTGGTAGAGCAACAAACACAATTGCATCTCTCTTTCTCCACTGAGCAGTGAGGTCTGTATCCCTCTTCAGAGGCACCTCTCCCTCCCTTGGCTCCTGATGGAGGGAGCCAAAGGCAACAAGCTTCCTAGCCCTGACACCTCTGATATGTGTGAAGATGGATGGGTTGAATGCAGGCCTAAAATATTTTACATTTTCACGGTAGTTTCACAGCCCTGGCATTATCAAATGATCTTTCAAAGTACTTGGAAGCAGGAGGAGAAGAACTTGAGAGAGGTTCTAGCTTTTTTGTGTCTGTGTACTTGCAAACTGTCTCTGCCTACACATCTTGCAGGGCCTGTTCCTGTTTGGATATGCACACGGAAAATCAGTGCTCGGGTGGATGCTCTGTCTGCTCCATTTCCCCCTCAAGTTTGGAGGCTGTTCAAAGCAGGTCCCCATCCCTGGGTGGTTAAGATCAGACTTGCCCTGTGTGCTGCACTCCACTGACCAGCCTAGTTAGGAACTCGAGGCTAGGAAACACAAGACAATTTTAAAATCTGAACAAAAGTAGGAGATTAAGGAAACCAGCTGGAAACCTCTATTTTGCTGATTTTGAAAGCAAAATATGGGTCACAGATGTGCTTCCACAGACAGAAACTGGCTGGAGAAGAAAAAGACATCGGCATTGCCCAGACTCTTTGATGATCAGAGGTAGATTTAGCTCTTAGGCATAGAGACAAGAAAGGAAGACGAGACTAAGTAGGAATAAAAACATAATCAAGATATTAGGAATGTGGAACGCAAGCCACCCGTAAATTTGCCTTAGGGAACTACGAAAAAATGCAGTAACAAAAAAAGATGAAACCAATTGCTACATCTTACTCTCTTCCCTTGTCTTGCCATCCTTATGATTTTGCTTTTTGCAGTCCAAGACACAGGGGGTCCATTACAGAACCTTCCCTCTTCCTTGATCATGTTTTTTTCTTTGCAAAAGTTCTGTTTTTGCTCCTTTGCAGTAGCTATGAAATCCTTGCTAAGGACCAGCTGACTTTAAAGCCCAAAAGAAACAAAGCTTTGCAGGAAATCCATACTGTCTGCATGTATCAGAGGCTAGAAAGCCATGTGCTCTGGCCCATCTGTCTCCAGAAGGGAGCTAATACTTCTTGTTTAGTCTAACACAAAAGATTAAACTTATTTTCAGTGAAATTGATGACAGACTGATAAGAGCCATGCTGCCGACCCTTGCAGGCTGTTGGTTAGCCTGTGACTTGGTCTCCCAGGGGCTGCAACAGAAGGCCTGTTGTTCCAGCCATTTAAAAAAACTCAAGGTAAAGCACTGGAAGAGCAATTAAGGACAACAGCAGCACTGACTCAGAGAAGCCCAGGTGATGGTTCCTCAGAAATAGCCAAGCAGCAGGGGGAGGTTCTGAAAAGCACTCAGGGCATTTGGTGGGTGGTTTCTGGGGTGAAGGGAAGTGCCAGAAGCACTCCTGAAGGTCTCAACCTGTGCTGGCTATGACCTGGTCACTTGGTGCCTTCAGGCTTTGTGGCATGTGCTGAGCAGCCATGCAGCACAATCACCAACTCCTGCAGGGAACTTCCCTCCTGCCAGCAAAATGCCAGTTCCTACAGCTTAACACCAAGAGAAGCCTGAAATGAAATGCTAGTGCAGCTCACTCCCTGTCAGTGTTTTTCAGACTTTGAGGAACTTATAATTCTGTTCTTGTCTAGAATTTATTTTTCTCAGCCCTAATGAAAACACATTTTGTAGTTGTTAGTGTTTCAAATCGAGTATCAGTGTCAATAAAGACAAGCCTTTTCCCATGGTGGGAAAAAATATAAAACTGTCTCAAATCTTCCACTCATGCAAAAGTAAACAACCCCAAAGCATTGAAGAATTCAATAAAATATATGCCTCTTTTCACTGAGAGTCCACTGGGCTTGAATAAGTGCCAACTGAGCTCTCACTTGCACCACCATCTCCTGATGGCACCAGGGCCTAGCAGTGTAGCAGGACGTGTGATGGTGCCCTGCCATGTGAAAGCATCTCTGATCCCAGGGGTGGAACCACCAGAGGCTCCTAAACACCAGCAGGGCTGTAAATGAGAAGGACTTTGTTCTCTCCAGCTTCCTCATCCAACCTAACCCAGAGAAAAAAGGTGTCCAGCCACAGCACAACTCACAGTGCAGCTAAGGAGAGAGGCAGCACAGCACTCCCCTGGCAAGGAGGGTGATCCATCCTCATCTGGATGCAAGAGATTTTGTCAGAGACACCAGAATTCATTTGGCTGGGCTGCAGCCCCAGATTGAAATTGCTGTGAATACTACAGCACAGCCTCTTCAGTTGATGTCTAGAAACTGCTTGTGGTTTCAGAGCTCTTGCTGATGAATTGCCCAGCAGCTGGTCATATTGGGAAGGCTCTACTTATTATTTTCAACTGCTATCTTGCATGGAAGGAAAATCAAAATACTTTCCTCAAGGTAATTGGCTCTAAAACAATTGAAGATTTTTCCACAAGGTTGTAGTGCAATTAGGACTGGCATTTTAGATAATTTATTTCTCTAAAGGTATGTTTATGCTACCATACCCTTACTTTGTGGGGAAAAAAAAAAGAAGAAGAAAAAAGCTGATGGCAAGAGAAAGCTGATTTTGCTATTACAGGCAATGAAATATAGATTAAACCACCTAGTACTGATTAAAAGGCAGCAGAATGCCAGGATCATCTCTGAGGTGTGATCATGGTTGGGTAGGATGCTGTGTCACCAAGCACTGATATGCAGGTTTCCCATTCAGTTTTCCATCAATGCCAAATGATGTGTCATCGCTTGCCTTCTGCTGCAGCCCCTCAAGAGCTGCACTCCCCAGCTGCCCTGCCAGCTTGGATGGGAGCAGCTGGTGCAGCTGTGAGCACCAGCCCCACCACACAGAACAAAACCAGCAGCCACACCACTGCCTAGGTTGTGTTTTGATAGATATCCAGGAACACCCCAAGCAGAGACGCCAAACAATCCAAACATGCAATAACAACTCCAGAAGTGCATGAAACAGCTGGTGAACTTGATTTGGGATATAGGGACAGCCAAAAGCATGGACATAGCATTGCCCGGCACCATTGGGAAGCCTCTATTTCCCTGACTACCAAGAGGTCCAAGAGTACAACTGAGGAAACCAATGCTCTCTGCCTGCCTGTTCCTTATGTTTGTACTTAACCACCTTTGGCTGACTCTTGCCCAAGACACAGTCCAGGGCCAGGGGAATTTTGCCTGACTGCAACAGATGCTGTGATTGAAATTAGGGGATGAAAACCTTTAGTCTCCTGGCCTAGGTGGAAGCAAATTAATTGGATCAATTATCATTACAAATGGATCTGAACTGAAACTGGGGAGACACGGAATGTCTCTTCAGAGCCACAGCAGCCATTTACGGGCAGATGTCCAGTCCTTATGACAGTATGAACCAAAGCCATGGATTCAGACAATCACCATTGAATGACACCTGGATGTGGTCTGTAATTGTAGAGAAGCCACTGACTGTATTACAAGAGGAGCTCAATGGCCCTGGAAAGGTAAAGACATCCCTTACCCTTGGCTGTAACCCAGCTGGCCCATCAGTACACCATACAACTATGGAAGTACAGTGGGAAAGAAAAGCAAACAGAGGAAAGAAAAGCAAAGCCAAGAGCTGTACTGCTGTACAAAGCAGGTGATCACACCCTTCTACTTTCCATCAGATAGACAAAGGAGCCATCTGCTGTGCCTACAGGTTGATCTGCCTATATTTGCTAGATCCATGTTTGCAAAAACCTACCCAGAGACATTAGGGAGCAATTTGGGAACCTGGCCTTGGGGTCACAGACCTGACCCCAGACTGGCCAAGAGGGGACATGACTGTCCTGCCTGATCCTTTGGACTGTGCAGCACCCCGTGACACAACACACATCCCAGACTGTAAGCAGAGACATGTTCAGTTCCACTGCCATGAGGTCATTCACTTCAGTTAAAACTTAAATCCAAATGCAGCTTCTTAACGTGAAAGAGGGCTACTCACTATTGGGCTGAGTCGTTAAGTTGATATTCCCGGGACCGGTTGAAGCATTCTTGGATCCCAGAGTCTGCCCAGAGCCTCATCATAGCTGACAGCAGCTCTGGAGAGAAGGGCTCTGTGTCCTCCATACGACTTACGACATCACAGACCATCTTGGCATCAGCCTGCAGAGGAAAGAAACAAGAGGTCACATAGATGCTCAAGGCAGAATTTGGAGCCAGAGATTTCAGAAACAGCTCACCAAACCATCAGGAGTAAAAAGGCTGTGTTTCTTGGGATAGGGCTTTAGCATCTACACTGTGTGATCTAGCTGAAAGGGCAAAAGGAGAATAGAGGAAGGAAATCACAAGGAAAAAGATTGTTTGTACAATCCACCTCATATAAGCAAGTATTTCTATTCAACAGACAAAGCAGTCTGCACTGGACATGTGTGGAATTTCATAGGAACAGAAATTCATACATGTACAAGGATATTTAAAATTGTTAGCAACAGTGCCTGCTTTAACTGAATGTGGAACCCTGCTGAAGTGGGGGCTTTTTATCAGAAAGAACAGCAGAAAGACTCCAGAAACAATTTTTTCCAGATGCTGGTTTATTGCTTTTCCTGAATTCTTGTTCTTTGCTATGAGCCCCTGCTATGAAGGCTAATTCATGTTAATGCAGACCACCTTGGCTGGCTGTGGTGCTGTGTGACTCAGAGGGAGAGGAATCTCCCACAGTTATGGAGCATGGCAGTGAGGGCAGGCCCAGCTGGCCATTTTCAGATGGAGTCTTTTTTGGTTTGAAAAATGAGATTCACTGGGACAGCAGTTTTTCCAGGAGGATAGTGCTCTGACACAATTTGGGTCTGGAAGATGTCTCAGATTTAGGATGGGAACGTCTAGACAGCCTTGGAATAACTGAGTTCAGCCCCCCTGTAATAGTTCATAGTGGCTGATGCTTCACTTGTTTGTGAAGCAGGACACTCAAATTCATGACCCCCTTTGCTTGCTTTGCAAGAAGTAAATGACCCACAGCACCCACAGACTCCTGAAACCTTTGGGATGTTGACTAATCTGCTGAGTTTTTCTTTCATTGCTTTGAAAATGTCTCATATTTCTACTAGCTGAAACAAACCCTATTATTTTTGCTATAATTAATTGGAAAATAGGAGGTCTTGTTCCTTGTGTCTGTGCAGCAACCTTGTGAAGACAACCTTCTTGTTTTACTACTTGATCTCTTGTCTGCCAGACTGAACCCAGTCTTGGCCAAATGCAGGTAGAAATCTTTGCCTTCCAGGGTGTTTGCTTTAAGCCAGCTAGTGCAGACCAGAAACACAAATCTTGAGAGGGGAGTGCAGGCTCTGCCCATGCTTTGCTGGCTACAATTAGAAGTGCCATCATTGAGGAGCACCACAATAATCTCGTTGTATGGATGGGAATGACAAGTGTATGACAGGACCTGCATGATCAGGATCCAAACTCTGTAGCCTCTTTGTTGAACTCTGAAACTGTGGAAAAATTGCAGGGCACCAAACTGAAAGCACTGAAGACTGAAGCTGCTGGAGATTTCAGTGCTCAGTGAAAAAGCCTCAGATGCTCTGAACATCTAGCCTTTATGGGCTGAAGAAGTCTCAGTACTGTATGTCTCAGTACTGTATCCCATGAAACTTAATGGGGTGGACTCTATGCTTTGAAGGCTTTATGAACATAAAATCTTTCTCACAGAGCACTTAACTTCATATTTTAGTGCCCAGGAATCCTCCCAGCCCTCTGTACACTCTGCTCATTTTGGAGAGAAAAGTATTGGTGACTCACACCTCAAAGCCAAGACAAACGAAGAACCTTGAAGAGTTCAGTTAATTTCAAAAGCTTGTTTTCTGCCCCGGAGTGCTTTGTGAGCTGAGTGAATATTCATAAATCATCTGTATGGTTTGCCTGCCCTGCTGGAGCTGCAATTTTGCTCTTTTCACAGACTCTAAATGACATAAAACCTGCTAATGGCTGCGGTCTGTCTTGGCGCCATTATTTGTGCATGGGTGATGCAGGAAAAGGATCCATGCTTCCAGTCAGGTAGAAGAATGTCTTTCTATGTTATCTTGACTGCTGGAGGGGGTTATAGGTGTAAGTCACAGATCTGTCCATCTGTCTGCAATGGCAAAGCACATTTGAAGCTCTCCAGCTGTCATGGGCATGGTCTGGGCTTCTTCTGAGTTTTGTGGATTTAACTGCAGGCTGCTTTTTGCAAAATATCAGAGGGAAGGGCACAGACATATTTTCTGTGCTGGGAAATAGTTGCATCACCTTTTCAGCTACTGAGACTTGTGGCAGTTCCCCGTGAGTAAGATCCAGCATAGGGGGGTTTTGAGCAGAAGACAGAGATGAACAGCAATGCCGAGGCAGAATGGGAGTGACCAGGCACAGACATTTCTGGCTGTAGTTATCTGTGAGTCTGTTGGGTCAGAAGTGGGGCTGAGCATATAGGGCAGGGGATTATTTTGGTACATGCTCCTCTGCAGTCACTGGAGGTCCCTTTTGGGGACAGGAGAGGCTGTCCTCCCACAGCATGGAGACCTGCCTGCAGGGCAGACTGAGAGCAGGCTGAAATGGGAAGAATGTGAAGGAAAGTTTAGTGCTCCTGCTGAACAGTAATAAAAATATTCCAGACTTAGTTTTATTTTGCAGAGTGAACCACTGAACTCTTGGTTTTACAGATCCAGAAAAAGCAGGTTAAATGAGTACTTTTAAAGATACCCCTTCCCCCTACCAAGGCTGAAGTCCCTCTGTCGAGGAGCATGGGGCCATCGAGGAGTTCAGGCATTTGTTAGATGATTTAATGAGCAATTAAGGATCCAAGAAGAGAAGATACCCCTTTCTTTTCTCACTCTCCAGGCTGTGTCTCAAGCTGGGAATGACATTAAAATCTCCAACTCCCCCTGGGCCCAGCAGGTAGATTTTTAAATACTGCCTGATTGACTTTTCCCTGCCTGCCTCCCCCGGGTCTGCTGCTCCTGCTATTCCCGAGGTGAGAGGAGCCGAGCCTCCCGCCAGGCTCTGCCTCTGTACTTCAGCCAGCAATTAAATAAAGCAAAACAAAACAGGCCAACAGCCCCCCCCCACTCCCCTGCCTTGCAGTTCCCATCCAACAGGGCTGTTGTTAATGAACATCACGGTGATATTTAAGCTACCTCGGGAGCTAAAAATAGGCAGTGCTTGGCCCCTGGGATTGCTGGAAGGAGCTACAAAATGGTGCAGGGCTCATTCCACCACTGCTGCCTCTGCCTTTCCCAGCTGCTCTGTCTCCCGTCTCCTCGGAACGAGACATCTGGGAGGAGGATAAGAGGTCAGGCTGGTCTCCTTCATGCTGGTTCTTATCCAGCATGAGCATCCTAGCCTATCTCTGCAGCACTCCCACACCTCCTGCTGCTGCTCCCCAATGGCTTGCATTTTCCATAGCAGGTGAAACCCTAACACCTGAGCTGAATGCCTTTGGGCTGTTCATTATGGAGAGTGGGATTTGTCACTTTGTGTCATTCCTGAATGCTGATTGCATCCCACCTACAGCAGGAGAATTAAAGCCGGCTGGGCATGGCCTGGGGAGACAGCTGAGCTTAGAGACCATGGTAAGGTGAAATTGTACATCCAGGCTTTAGGTATCAGGCCAAGAGACAAAAAACTCTGCTGAAGAACAAACCTACACTCTGGCTGGGGAATGGAGAGGGCTCTGTAAGGCCAGAGCAGTGTCTGAAACCCACAGGCAGATGTGAACAAGAAGCTTGTAAACACAGCGGGAAGTTGGCATGTGTTATTCCTAACCCCAGGTTGCCTACCTGTGCACCACACTTTTGGTATAAATCCAGTTCAGAAAGGGATCTGCTCTCTCCCTAACCTGGACATGACTGCAGTTATTTAATTGTCTCCCATATGTCACTGTCACCAGGCTCACAGCCTGTGCTCAGCATACAAACTTGTGACTTCACTTGCAACAGCCACACAGCCCAATTAATGTGTTACCTGGCTGGAAGGGAGAGGGGCCCTTCCCTGCAGTCTGACACTACTGGCAGCTGCGTTTGTCTCTGCAAGCAAGTTATTTTCTATCATACCGATACAGTTCACCCCTAATTACTCGTTCCTCACCACCACCCATGACTGGTGCCCACGAAGATACCAGCAGAGCTGCACAATGAAGGTACCAGCAAAGCTGCTCTGCGGCCCTGGCTGCTGCAGAGTCACACTGGAGTAGGACTCAGGTCCCCATCTCTGAGTATCCCAGGGCAAACCCTGGCTCTGACCCTTTGAAGTTGCCTGGACACTGACTAGGAGACTTTCCCCACCCCCCCACCCCCCAAAAAAAAGGAATAGTTTTCTGGAAGGGGAAATTTAAGGGAGAGGCAAAACCTTGTGTGAAGCTGTGTGGTACAAATATGCTAAACCCTGTAAGAGCTGTGCTGTGTTACAGCCACTGAAGATACCAGCTGATGTGCCACACTGTACTGTCCTTTCCTTTTGGTGAACTAAATCCCAGTAAATATCAATTTTTTTTTGCTGTTATTTACTCTGATTAATGATACTTGCCACTTAGCCTATCTCAAAGGTTAACCCTGGGGCAATTTCCTCTGGTGGCTAGTTGTACGAGGAGCTGCTTCTCAGAACATTTCAGAAAATCCATGCACTGGGGGAAAAGATAAGCACTTCAATTTGGCTGGTGGTATGAGGCAAATCAGCACAGTACCAGCCATCAGCAAGCAATCTTGTGAAAATAGTAGTGGCCATCATGAACCTGGGGGTAATCAAACTAATGTCTTGAGACCATCCAGCATCCAAAAAGGACATCCTTGCAAGGGAACCCTGCGGGGGACCTAGATCGTGACCTCAGGGCACAGCAGTGTGTGCCTCTGCTACTCCAGTGAGAAATGATGTCCTGTAACTTCACAGCAGAACGTGTCTCATAAACTGAAAACCTCCTGCTTCTCCTTACAGAGTGTCTCAGAAATATGAACCCCACTGCCCAGCCAAAGACATTTTGGGGGTTGCATTGCAGCAAAAGTCAGTGATTTTCACAGCATTTCAGCCTGAATAAATCCTGGAAACAAAGTATGGCTGGTGAATGTGCCTTTTCCAGAGACATCCAGGGCCCAGCTCCAAGTCCATAGAAGTTTTTCTAGACACTGAATAAATAGCTACAT